AGCAGGAGGGGTGTGAGCATCTTGTGGGCTGCACGTAACGGAGGAGCCCGCCACTGCGGGCGTGCACGGCGTCCACGTCCCGGGTCTGCGGGGGAAGCAGTCCCTCCCCTGCAGGGCTCGGCTCTGCTGCTCCGTGTGTTCTGGGGCCCCGGCTCGGTCCTCATCCGCAGTGCGCCCCCGGGTCTCTCTCAGGGTTGTCGGAAGGCCCAGGCCGTTCAAAGAACCCCCCTGTGCCCTCACGGGCTCTACAAGCTAGACGGACGAGGGAGGAGGCTCTCTCTGGGCGTGTGTCTGCTTTCTGAGGGGCACGGTTTTCTCCCGCAGGCCTCAGGGGGCCCCGTTTGCCGGAGCCGAGCACCGTGCTTGCACGAGGCCCGCCCCGCCGGGAGCGAGTGTGGGCACTAGGACAGCTGATGTCGAGGTGCGTTTCCTTCTGTGTCCGCAGCGCCTGGGGTGGCGCCAGGCGCTCGGTGAGTGTCTGTTGGAAGGACGGATGTGTGGGAGGGCGGGAGGACGGACGGACGGACGGATAAGAGCCTGTGGTTGGAGTCTGTGCGGAGCCACGGGCGTGCCCTTGCACCCTGAGGACGTGCGAGGCTCCTGTCCTCTCTGCGCCCCGCTGAGGTCGCCGCCTCGCACCAGGCCGCCTGGGGCGATTGGGTCCCCAAGTGGACGCTGGGGCTCCCGGGGGATGCTCGTGACTTTGGGAAGGCAGTGTCAGACCATGTGTGATGGGGACATTCAGCAGTACCCTCCACCCAGCGTCCCTACTGCTGAGACTGTACCCCTTGCGTTCTAACTGTACAGGTGGAGACCAGGTTGGAGTGGGATGCTCGACCTTCTCGTCTAATCGTTGTGGTGGTGGGGGCGCCAAGCACACAGCTGGGTGCCCTGAGCACGAGGGTGGCAGTGTTGGGATGTGGCCTCCCACGGGTGTTCCTGATTTTCCCAGTTAGACTCACCCCTCAAAGCACCTGGCCTTGGGCGGGCCATACACCCATTTCTCGTCCTCGCGTGGTGACTAACCAGATGCCCTCACACAGAGTGGACGTGTGCCACCCTCACCCCGCGGCCGGTCGCCTTGGCCCCAGTCTGGGTGCGGGCCGTGCAGCCCTGGCGTGCGGAGTCCACGCTCTGTGTTTGACGCGAGTGAGAAACGCCGAGACCGGGCACAGCTGACTCTGCAGCAGGAAGGTAGAGAAGAGGGACTTTGCCCAGGAACAGTGGTGCGTCGTTCACATGCCATGGGAGGGGCAGCCGAAAAGTGACGGCACTTCTCTCTGGGTCTGTTTCATCTGCCAACACAGTCATTGGACTTCACTGTCATTTCGCCTCATGATGTTCAGGCCCCTTATTTGCTCCTAAATGCGGCGGATGAAAATGGAGTTTTGTGTTGAAAGAGATGACCTCACAATTTGGGTTCCCAGTACGTCCCACGTATTTCCAACAGAGAAGTGCCCTTAACACAGGCCGCCAGCATCTCGTCTTTGGGCCCCGCTCCCGGATGCCCTCCAGGCTCTTGGCCCCGTTGGGTCCCTCGGATGGGTCTGCAGGCCTCGTTATAATTGGAATTACTGGAACTGAGAAACATAATGGCTTCCGAAATATTTCTCACAGGTCTCTGACTCGTATACAGTAGGTACTTAATAGTACCATTCATCGGATTAATTGGCTGGGACATTCTCTTGGACTTGTTCCCACCATGGGTGCTTACGTGCCTTTCATTCGCACAGGTTCCCTTTTCCCCTGATGGCTTTTGTGGTGGTAGAGTTCATCGTTCAGCCTCATCATCTTTCTGCTCAATGACCCTTGCATTTCGACCCCATTAAACCTAAGTGTGCTTTTAGGTGCACCACCCCGGGCACGCGATGGGATTGTTTGGAGGCTCAGTGTCCTCACTGGTAAAATGAGAGTGGAACGGCACCTCCTGCCAGACCGTCTCGGACAAATGCACCGATCCATGCGGAACATTTAGCACGGCTGACGTTTATTTCAAAGCCGCACGTGGTCGGGGCGGCCGTTGGCTGGCTGTGGATGCGGAGGTTGGGCTGTGAGCACTTAACGAGCTCTGTGGAGTTTACAGGGGAGCCTGTTGCATGTATTCGTACTACTTGGAAATGGTGGGCTCCACATCCTGTCAGTGGAATTGTGATCGTCTTATGTGTGGATACACACGCAGACGCTATTTCTGTGGCTTTGGACATTTGCCGCCAGGTCGCACTGCCTTGACTTTTGCTCCTGGAGCTGGGGCAGTCCTTGAGCATATGGATGCTGTCTGCACGTCACCCGCAGCAGATGCTGTTGGTGGCCCGCCCCGGCCCCGCGGCTGGGCCGGGGCGCCCATCTCCCAGCTGCTGTGCGCGCCAGCTGCTGACGCCTCACGCCTGTGCCCCTCTCCAGGGCCGGCTCTTGGCTGACAGCACCCGCCCCGACCCAGCGTATCTGGGAGGTTCTGAGGTCCACCCCTGCGGTCCCCAGGGGGCTCGCAGCTGGGGACTGTGAGGGGCCGTGACCTCCCAGCCCCCTTGCTGCGGCCTGGACGAACCTTCCAGTCTGAGCCGCGCTGCGGAGCTCCTCGTGGTGTCCAGCCTCGGCCGAATTCCCGACACCGTGTCTTTGCTCTGCTCCCTCTCCCAGCCCAGCGTGGGTGCTGTCGCCCGCCTCTCCTGACAGCAGCCTGCCTGTCGTCACACGCAGAGGAAATGCCATCTGACGGGCCACCCCTGGGGGCCCGACCTACGGTGCTGGACCCCTTAGCGCCCCTGTTGCTCCCCCAGCCCCACCACCACCTGTGCAGCCAGTTCCCTGCATTGCATCGCCTTGGGCTGACATTTCTTCTCTTTCTCTTGTTTCTGGTTGACTTTCTTTTCTTGGTTGGACCCTGCCCGATAGGCAGCAGCCCTGCTCCTGTGTCCTGTCTTTGCTCATTTAAGCTTCCTCAGCACCAGTGCCTTGGTCTTCTCATAGCTCCGTGGGTTTCAGAATAGCGCCCTGGGAACACCGGGCTCTGCCTTCCGGAGGTCGGCCTCAGAGCTCGAGTCGGGCGAGTCTGCCCCTCGAGGTTGCCGTGGGGTCCCGTGAGCTGCTCTTTTGAAAACACTCAGCACTGTGCCTGGAATGTAGCACGTGCTGAGTCAGTGGGAGGTGTCGACACTGCTGCTGCCCTCACCTGAGGGACTCGCCCGCCGGGGATGAGGGGAGGAGGCTTCCTTGCTCCCAGAGCCCCCGGGGGGGCCTCTCGCCTGGCACGTCCTTCCGCAGGGTGGCGGTCTGCCCTCGCCCAGGCAGCCCGGAGCTGCTCCCTACCGTCCGCGGTGCCGGCTCACAGGGGCAGACGAGACCTGGTCACGTACATGCGTAGCCTTTGCTGGTGTCCACAGTGGAAATGCCCCGGCCCTGTCCAAAGTCAGGCTACCGACAGATGCCCCCGAGCGCAGGGCTGGCACACACCACCCCACTCCCACTCTGGGTATCCATGGTCTTGGGTTGGCCAAGTAGTCTGTATGGTTTTTTCCATCAAATAAAAGACACGTTTTTGTTTTTCACCAATAACTTTATTGACTTGGATATTTTGAATATGTCAGCTATCTACCATCTGGTGGAACGTTGATTGTTCTCAATTAGTGTCTTGTTTTGATCACTATTAACTTCAACTGGTCTACCCAGCCAGCACGGAACATTGTCCATTGAGAAATCTCCAGCACAAAACTTCACAAACCGCTTTCGACACATTTGATCAGTCACACCACCTTCTCCAGACACTGCATAAAGCTTGTTTTTCATTTTAGTTGTGTTTTTACCTTCCTTAAAATAATAAGCATAATATGCCGAAAATGTTGCATGTTTTCTTCCATCTTCAATATTTACATAGCTACGTAAAAACTCACCAATTCTGGTAAGTATTCTTTTAATGCACGCTGATATGACAGCTGTCACAATACAGTCTAACAAATAGTTTTGAATGAAATAAAAGATGACTAAGTGCTACCAGAGCCATCGTACACCAAACGAAACTTTTGGCCAGCCCAGTACTTAGTGCGGTGCGTCTAGCCGGGACTGAAACGTTCGGCGGTGGCTCAGGTGTCGTCACTACGCGGTGAAGGTGTGATCAGATGCCCCGGGCTGGGAAATACCTTGATAACCTAATTGTGTTATACCAGCAAAATTAGAGCGCCTCTCCCCACCCCCAGATGCATGCGTCACAGATCTCCACTTTGCAATCGACCATATACATGAATGACCCTTAGTTGGCTTACCTCTCCTGGCCTTGGTTTCCCCAGAGAGCTGGGCTGGAGAGTCTCTGAAACCCCTTCTGGTCTCCAAGTCCACGGAGCCAACTTAGCGTACGACTTCATTCCCTCATCCCCTCGTTCCCCTCATTCCTCTCATTCCTGTGTTGGTCGTTGGGTCTGGCACTGTGCTGGGTATCGGAATTGTGGCAGGCAGCAGGACATGGCCCTGGTGGACGTGCGTCTCCACGTACTTGTCAGCGCCCCGTCATCGCGAGACCACGGGTGTGCTCGTTGCCCAGTGGGGTCCTGCGGACGCAGGTGGTGTGCCAGTCATTTCACTTCCTCCCACAGATGACACAAGGCAGCCTGACGGCCAGCCCGTGCTGTGGAAGGTGTCGCCAAGCTGATGTGGGTGGCAGAGGGAGAAGCCCCGGTGCACAGCTGGGTCGCACTGCTCCCGAAGGCGGCTTTAAACCGAGTCTGTGAAGAGTGCCCTTGTTTAGGACTGTTACACCAACTCTGAAAACGTCCTTTTGCTGAGAAGCGTGTCTCTGGTCAGAAAGGCACGGGGAGGGAGTCTTCAACTCCTGCGTCTCCCTCAAGTTCACGTCCATTCATTGGCCCGCATGCCTCCTTTGTTCTCAGCAGCCATGATCTCTGCAGTTACTTTTTAAAAGCTACATCGGTTCCCAACAGGAATTACTGCTGGGAGCGTTTCTCGCTTGCCGAAAGCTCTTTTTAAAAGGAGGATTTGTTCTGCTTTGACAGGGGCCGACCATATCCGGAAGTACTGGAGCCGCTACTACCAAGGGTCTCAAGGGGTGATCTTCGTGCTGGACAGCGCGTCCTCGGAGGGCGACCTGGAGGCGGCCCGGAGCGAGCTGCACTCGGCGCTGCAGCACCCGCAGCTCTGCACCCTGCCCTTCCTCATCCTGGCCAACCACCAGGACAAGCCGGCCGCCCGCTCCGTGCAAGAGGTACGTCCCCCGAGCGGACGGCTCCCGTCTCGCTGCGGCGCGTCCCCCACCACGGTGCCCGTCGTCGGGACGTGTGGTCGTGCTGTGTTCGAACATGACCCCCTGGCTTTCGTGGGAAGCCTGTGTCGATCCGACAGGAGTTGCTGTTGACGTGCCTGGTTCCCCTCAGAGACTGACTTTTTAACTGTTTAGCAAAGTGAGGGGACTTGTCTGGGTATTTTCCTCATCTCTCCTGCAGGGCCAATGGCCTGGCAGTGTCACAGTGCTTCACCCCACCACCTCCTTAGGTCCTTCTTCTGTTCCCCAGCTTCTGGAGGGACGCGCTGTGCGTCGCCATGCGCCCCTTGCCCTTGTAGGCTGCGTTCTCGCCCCTCCGAGACGCTCACTGTTGACCGCAGCGGGGGGTCCTGTCCTGTGCCCAGCCAGGCTGGACAGTGGGCTCTGGTCTTGCCAGCCCCGTCCCGTGCCCGCCGGCGCAGTTCACTGGGACCTGCTCTTCAGCGTCCTCCTTCAACTCCCTGTCTCGGCTGACACCTGTCCCCTGAGCGCGGGAGGCCGATTCTCTCTGATGCATGGCACTCAAGGAATAAGACGTGTAGAGAGTTTCCAAAACCCACACAGTGGTGAATTTTCACGTGGGTGCAGGGACATGAAGACACTGGGTGTGTCCCCCTCCACCCACAAGGGTCCGGATGTGTCCCCCCAGTCCCCCGAAGGTTGTGTGCTCGCTCTGATGGCGTCGGAACCAGAGGGCTCGCGGGAAGGATGCGGCTCTCTGGTTTGAGAAGTGAGTGAGAGGCCAAGGGTGGGGCATGTGCGGCCTCTCCCTCCCTCCCACCGCGTGGGGCCTGCGGGCACGCGGCCGTGTTCCTGTGGCCTGTCTTCTCACCCGCGAGGTGGGGGCGAGCAGTGTCGTCAGGAGGAGTGAGTGGGATAGATTGGGATCGTGTGCGCTGACCTTTAAAGTGCAGAGTGTTAGGGGTGCCCTGTGCAGAACATTTCCATTCACGTTTCAGACAAATGGTTAATAAGGCAAGGATTTCTTACTAAATAGAACGCACGGCCTTGAGTTGTCTCATTCAGCACTAGGTAGTTAGCCCCTTTTTCTTTTCTCGGTTTTGTGACATACCTCACGGGTAATCCTAAGTGATTGAAATAAACACATAGCAGAACACATCTATCCTGAGGGCTGTGATGTGCAGACCCTCCCGATCTGTGCTGAAGACCTTGGGTAAATCTCAGCTTCTCAGCACCAGGTTTTTGTCCGGAGCGTGGACATAATAGTATGTAATGCCAGGTAGTTACGAGTGTTGAATTACTTTGTAACTAGAGGGTGCTTTGTGAAAATGTTATTATGAGTGCATTGTGGGAAACACGGTATGTGTATGTGTTACAGAATTCACAAATAGTATAACATCTTGTACAGATATAATCTGTAACACATAGGTAGTAAAACACATAATGTGAAGTAGATGAAATATAAGTGGCATTATAACTTCAGATCACTTTATTCAAATTAGGAGCAAAAATTTTGTTTTTAAGTTTAAAAAACTGTGTACCTGTTTTCTTAGACACCCTGCCGTGGAAGCTAGTGTGTGCTCTGACCCTAACGTACGGCTCGTGGGGACCCGCCAGGGGAAGTCCGGCTGCGGCGGCGAGGGAGGGAGGCAGCGTCCAGCAGCTGCGAGGCCCTTCGGGGGACACGCTGAGCGTGGGGCCCCGGTGTCCCGGGCAGGGGCATCTGTCTCTGTGATTCGCCTCTTCCCGAGACAGAGACCGTCCGTGTGTAGTGACCCCAGATTCGATTTGAAAATGCGGATTCTAGACTTGTGTGTGCTGGAGTGTACGTGGCTTTGACCTTCGTTTGTATGTCCCGTTTAAGTGAATTGCCCTCAGACTTCTTGCTTAGGGTGGCATTTGCAGATGCCACCTCGAGGACTGCTTTTTGTGAGCATTCTCCCCACGAGTGTGCGAACACGTACCGCACCAGCGCAGGGCGCACTTGACTCCAGCCGGTGCACACCCTCCATGGCAGGTCTGGCGCTGAGTCGGGAGCTGCGGGAGGGCTCGTCCTGTGGGTGTGGGAGGAAGGGAAGCGGCAGCTTCCTGTTTTCCCCCTTGCCTGAACGAGAGAGGTTTCTCACGGGAGTCTTGGGATGTTTTGTGGAAGTCCTTCCAGGAATGTCTTAGGAATTAAATCAGTACCGTACTGCGAGCGTAAAGGTTGACCTGTGAAACCGAAGCGTAACTTCTTGTAAATAGTAGCCTCCAAATGCGTGGGAGTCGGCCGGGGAGGAGGGAGAGGAGGAACGGTGAGCCGGTCGCGCCTTACTGGAAGCACGCTGAGAAGTGGTTGTGTGCTTGCTCCTCTGGGGTCCCTTAGCAGGAGCGTGCCCGTGCCCGGGGCTCTGCTGCTTACAGACATTTGTGTCCGTTTGCACCTGCCTGTGTGTGCCCGTGGTAGGATTTCCAAATGCTGACATGGTGGTGTTTGCCCTGGGAATTTCAGGCGAACTCCCGTTCTTTGAGAATCAAAGAAAATGCATTCAGTTTACCAGAAAGCCCCGACTGGTTCTTCTTCGCTGCAGTTAGGGAAAGGCGCGTCCCAGGGGCTCACTGAGTCTTCCCTGCCTCCTCCTGGTGCAGTCCATACACTTGGTGCTCGATGCATCGTACAGAAATGTTGCCGTTAGTTCTTCTGACACTGGAGCAAAACTTGAAGAGTTCACTAGTCATCTAATGTGGATACCGAGGTACTGCGTGCAGAAGCCAGTGCAGAAGACATCCGAGGGGGAGAAAGCTGAGCTGTCCTCTGGGTCCCAGCGGAGGGCGAAAATCGTCAGGAGGTTGCACGCATTTGGTTCCTCGCCCTGCGCTGGGAGCGAGCGCGGCCGTGTGTGGGTGGAGGCCTGGGTTCGCACGGAGCGGCAGTGGGTGAAATTGCTTCGTGTGCCGCGGACAGAAGGCAACATGCCCGCTTACTTTATCGCCCTTTTGTACCGCAGGCGGGGTCTCGTGCTCCGCAGTTTCTCTTTCTGGAACACACCTGGTAATGACCCCGTGCAGCTCGTTTAAGATTTTAATGTCTTGAGAATTGATAGGAGAAACTTTATTTATTTTTTACACCAATCAGTTTTTTTGTGTTTTTTTTTTAAGAAAACAGCAGAACACTGGGGAAAGCACCCTTTACATACTGTCTGTAAGCCAAGCCGTCCCTGCAACAGATGTTTGCTCTGTCCGCTTTGGGGAGGCGCAGTCAGCAGTTTTCCAGAATCTATTCGTAACTGTTTTCTCTACAGACAACGTAACATAGAAATCTTGTACTTATGTCATGGGGCCCACTTGACTCAGTAGGGAAAACCCTGGTCTAACTGAAACGATAAAGCTTTTAAAATGAAAATCGTCTTGAGGGTAATTGGGTTGGTTTGTTACTTGTGTTGAGTTGTAATTGCATCTAATTCGTTTTACAAGCCCCAGAGGAGAGCATACTTCAGTTCTGAAGTCGTGCAGTGGATCAGGAGGGTTTCATAAGAGGTTCCGTTCACGGCGTAGCCAGTGAGCGTGCTCCTGCTTTCCCTCCGCACCGCGCTGGCCGCGCTGGCCACCGCGCCGGCCGCGGGGCTCTCGGCGCCGAGCTCCCCCGCCCGTGCTCGTTTCCCTGGGCACGGCAAGTCTGCCGAAGTGACACACTCGGTCCGCCCCGGAGAACTAGTGCGTCCTCTCGGCAGCGTCCCCTGACTGGCGTCTGTCCTTATCGTTAACCCATCAGTGTTTAACTGTTCGGGAGTGCTGTGTTCGCTGTCGGTCCGTTTTTTTTAAATTGAAGCAAATATTGAGAAACAGGAGTGGTGTGCAGCGCAGACCTTTGCAGTGGAATCATAAGGTCGCGCGAGTCGACTGCCTGCGTGGCTCACTCGTAGCACAAGAAAGCCCAGCTCCTCCTCGAGAGTGTCAGCATGAAAGTTAAAATTTGTGACCCAGCATTTTTCCTTTTTCACACAATTGTAGTTCAGTTTACGATGTGGAGCACATCGTAAGCTGAATGTGCTGACCAGAAGGTGCTGGTCTCTTGAAAAAGAATAGAACATAAATGCAAGAAGAGTATTTGTAAGTCTTTCTGTCATGATGTAAACATTACTTTTTAGACCATGTTTTGTTTGGATTATAAATATTCATATTTTGAACAATATGAATATGCTTTCAATATTCAGTGTATCATGAATAATTTATCTAGTTCTCACTTTTTAGTCTATAGACATCTCCTGGAAGAGAGTGCTAGAATGTGTTTCGTGTTATCTAACTACCACACTTAATTATAATAACCTGTTTGTTGATAAGTATTTCTGCATTGTGTACTTCCTCCCCTTCCTGCATGGGGTCTGAGAGAGTTTGGAGGAATTAGAAATTTCGGACAACGTTGATCTATAGACAGTAAGCCTCTAGATTAAATTGTTTGTTTTATATGCTGCTTAACAGTGAGCAGTTCCCTCTTGGCAGCTCTGTGAAGTCGCAAATATCTGATTTTCCACAAGTTTTTTATTAGAAAATGCACAGCAGTGTTTAAATCACATAAACTACTTAGCTTAATGTTACTCTCTGTACATAGAGAAAAACGTGTGTGTGTGTGTGTGTGTGTGTGTGTGAGAGAGAGAGAGAGAGAGAAACATCCATCGTAAAGTATCCTGTACTTTACATCCTCGGAGTCTTCCAAGTCCCGTGACCTGCTTCTTGGCCAAGGTTTAGAATACTGATTAGATTTCGCATCAAGCGGCGTGCATGCCTATTGTGTGAGCGGTTTGAAAACTCCCTAATGGGACGTACACTTACTCTAACATGATATGAGATGCAAATTATTTTTTGTCCATTCCTTACAGATGTACTTCTCTCTGCTGCAGTTTAATCTTGGGGAAACAATTAGGGGTTTGGAAGTCCATTTTCCACTGAGTGACTCAGTGATCTCCTGAAAATGTTGACTGACTTTTGAGAGAAGCCGAAAAAGC